GAGGCGTCCCCGGGCGCTGCACAGCTCCTGCAGGTTCCCCTGGAACTGGATCTTGCGGGATTCCTGGCGCAGCGATTCCCAGATGGCGGCGGTTTCCTCGGGGCAGCTCGAGAGCACCTCGCTGGCACAGGCATGGAAGTCGTCCCAGGACCTGGGGAGACGGGCAGGAGGGAGGGGGCCACCGGTGGCAGGTCAGCCGGCTGTCCCGGCAGTGCCCAGGGGACGGGGACACTCACTTGCAGATGGTGTCCAGCTCCTGCGCCTCCTCGCCACCCTCCTCCCGCTGCCGCCGGACGCTCTGGGCCATGCTGTCCCCCAGGCTGATGAGGCACTCGGCAAAGCCCTGGTAGATGGTGTCACACTTCCCCACCATGCCGACAGGCTCCTGGCTCGCGGCTGCAGGGAGCAGGAGAGAGGGAGCTGAGCCCCCATGGATTCCTCCCCCCGACAGCACTCACCTGCCCGGCTCAGGGGCGCACAGGGTGTGGGTGTCACCAGGGGTGGGGGTGACACCAGTCTCCGAAATGAGGCGAGGGGCTGGCACCCCCTTCTGCATCCCGACAGACCCCTGGCATCCTCCCCCCAAGCGCTCGGAGTGCACCTTGGCCCAGGAGCCCGACGTGGCACGGTGCGATGACCCCGCAAGCGACGCTGCCATTAGCTGCGGGGGACGAGTGGCGTGCCGGCCGCTTCGCCTCAGGCCTCCCAGGCTCTCCCTGGAGCCATCTGTCCTGGCGCTTATCCCCTGACAGCAAAGATTAATTTGTGACTGCAACAGGGGGAAAAAACCAACCCAAAAGCAAAGGCTCGGCAAGCCAGAATCCCTGCTCCTACCGCAGGGGGGGAAAAGGAAAGGAGGGAGAGGGGGAAAGGGAAAGGAGGGAGAGGTGGAAAGGAAGGAAAGGAGAGGTGGAAAGGAGAAGGAAAGGAGAGGGGGAAAGGAGAAGGAAAGGAGAGGGGGAAAGGAGAAGGAAAGGAGAGGGGGAAAGGAAGGAAAAGCACAAAAGGAAGAGGCACAAGCACAACTGCAGCTGCTTCACCCTGGGAAGCCCCAGTTCCCTGCTCTGCTCCGCAAGGGATGAACCACCAGGACTGGCCGAACCCTGGCGCTGGCCACAGGACGGAGGGTGACAGGGTGTGTTGGGGACAACCGTGAGTGCCATCCATGGCTGCGGGGAGGCCCAAAACGAGCCAGTGTGTGGCTGGGTCGCAGGGAAATGCTGCGCGGTCAGCTCGGCTCTGCCCTGGGAGTCCCACAGGGCCACGCCACAGGAGGGGTGAGGCTTTTGGAAGTGTCGTGGGTGTGCACCCTGGAGCTCTCTAAGCTGAGGATGCTACAAAGGCATGAGGACCGACCTGGAGGGGTCCCTGTGGGAAGGTGACCCCAGAAGCAATCAAAAGTTGCCCAGCGGCTGCCAAGGCAGCCCAGGATGTCTCCAGGGAGCTGTGTGCTGTGCCACTGGCATCCTGTGCCCGTGCCCCTGGCACAAGGCCCTGGGCAAAGTAGCTGTGGCCAAGACTGGTGCTGGGACGAGCCTGAAACCTCAGCCTGTCATGGAGCATGGCGGGTGTTCACGGCGAGAAATCCCCTCCCAGCACATCACCAAGTGAAGTCTCAGATTGATGCCAGCCACGTGGGTCACCAATATTGCAGGTACCAATAGAGAAAGTGGGATCCATTGCTCCTCTTTTGACCCAGCTGGGCCACAAGCGCGTCTCCCACCAGCCCAGGGACCCACCGGCTGGTAGGGCCAGCACATGTCTC